GCTCAGGCAATGGGCAGTTCAATAATCCACTTGGAGTTAGTTGTGACAGCACTGGGAATGTATACATTGCTGATACCTTTAACCACAGAACACAAGTGTTCACAGCAGATGGAGAGTACATTCGACAGTTTGAGAAGAGAGGAAGAGAAAAGAACGGAATAGCCATGGACTCAAACAACATAGTCTATGTTAGTGACTCTGCTAACAATATCTCAGTCTTCACTACAGAGGGACACTTTATGACATCATTTGACACACAAGGAAATGGACCGGGTCAGTTTGACCGTCCAACTGGAATGACTATTTCAAGGAATGGAGTCATCTATGTCTGTGACCGCAACAATGGCCGTATTCAAGTTTTTTGAGAATTCTTTTCTCTTGCGTATAATATGTTACAAATAAGATGTTCAGTTATTGGCAAGTAAAAGATTAACCTACTTTGCGCATGCTTGCGTTCACATAAGCAAAGCGGGAACTATCCACCACAATTTTTATCGATGCATAACTGGTTGTAAGCCGCAAGATTTGCGGAGAAAGACATACATTCTGGGATTTTATGGCGGGCCAGTCCCCCACAAACATCGCTTCATCTCCTTTTCTCTTGCGTATAATATGTTTGTTCAGTTATTTAGATGAACCTACTTTGCGCATGCTTGCGTTCACATAAGAAAAGCGGGAACTACCCGCCACAATTTGTATCGATGCATAATTTTGGAAACTGGTTGTAAGCCACAAATTTGCGGAGAAGATCCTTGACTTTCTGAAAGGGTACAATCTAGGGATTTTATAGGACTTACCTATTGCGGGCCAGTCCCCCACACACACATCATAACCCTACTGTCAATCATCTTGCCATGCTGGATCACTTCATCTCCTTCTGCCTCGGCTTCCCCATTACTTTATGCTTTTTACTTCTCCAGTTTTTTTCTTTTCCTTGCCTCTTTGTCTTTGCCTCCTCTTTGTTTATTGTCATCTATGTCAGTGACAACAACAATGGCCGTATTCAAGTTTTTTAAGAACATTTTTTCTGTTACGTAACATGTCCCATTGTGAGTATTCATGAGTTATTGGCAAGAACTAACTAGCGCTGCTTGCTTGCATTCGCATACTAAATATGTGCTGCATATCCAGTGTAGCATACAGAGCAGGTATGTACCCACCAGAATGTGGTCAATGAAAGTCCACCAGAATGTTCTTGCTGAGAAGATACCAGATACCTTGACTTTCTGAAAGGATGCACATTCCTTGAATGTTTGAGCTTTGAGTAGGGCTATTCCCCCACAAACCTGCCAATCTGAACACTTTATCTTCTTTTCACCATTACTTTATTACTTCTCCATTTTTCTTGCCCTTGCCACAAATCCTTCTTACTGCATTGTTTTAAGTGAGTGTGGTCTACCACATTAATAGTTCTTGTGTGTCTGTACAATCCAAGGGGGTGGTGTGTATTCATAGGCATACCTGTTCATATCACCCCATGCACTCCTACTGGTCCCTTGCTGTGAATATTCTTGAGTCCTGCTCTCTCATTGGTTGGTCTTTCACTCTACCACTTCTAGTGGTCAGTGGAGATATAGCCTAAAATGGAAATGTTTTGACAGTGCCCTCCACATAAATAAGTCAGGCCGCCTCTCAGTTCTTGAGGCTTGTGCGTTTGCTCTGGCTTGTTGTTGATTGCTATGGCTGAGTGTCCTTCTTCCTCTGAAAAAGCGCTAGAGAAACTGAATGAAGAGTTGACTTGTCCAATATGTCTGGACCAGTACACAGACCCCAAACTCCTCCACTGCTTCCATGTCTTCTGTGAGAAGTGCCTGAAGCCAGTGGCACGCCAGACCCCACAGGGACAGGTGGTGGAGTGCCCCAACTGTCGCCACCTCACCTCCCTGCCCCAGGAAGGAGTCTCTGGCCTGCAGGGAGCCTTCCTCATCCACCACTCTTCGACATCCAAGACATCCTCAAGAAAGTCAACACCCCCGCTGGTACCAAGTGCACAAAATGCAAAAAACAAGGCCCAGCTTGCTATTGTCGGTCTTGTGGGTTCCTCTGCGATGCCTGTAAGTACCCACATGTAGAATGGGATGAATTTTCCTCTCACGAGCTAGTCAGCCTGGACCAGCTGACAGAAGATGTAACTAATCTTGTGCCTCCAGTTCAGAAGACTCTGAACTGCTCCAAACACCCAACCAAAGAGCTAGAAATCTACTGTGAGACTTGTAAAGAGGTAATCTTGCCAGCACGTGTGCTCTTGAAAATCCATCGCGACCACCAGTACGATCTGGCGGACCGACGTATTCCCACAACAGAAGGAAAGTGCTGGTTTCCTCAGTTGAGCCAGCTAGAGCAGCAGCTAGCCTCGGTCAAACAAGGCTCTGGAGGACCTCAAGTCTCTGTCTGGGGAAATCACCAGCCAACGCCAGGCCTTGGAGAGCCAAGATCAGGGCAGAGATTCGCCTCGGCACCAAGCTCTCGAGGCAAGAGAAGAAGTCTCGTCTCGCAGCTGGACCAGATGACTCGGGAGAAGCTGAAGAATGTAGCTGCCCAGCAAGACCAGTTGGAACGGTTGGCCACTCGGTTGAAGAGCTGCTGTGGGTTCTTGCAGGAAGCCTGAGAACTGGCAGTCAGGTAGAATCCTAGCCATGGGCCAAGCCTTTCGTGCAGCAGGTCCAAGACGTGACATCTTCCCTCAAGCCAGAGTCCTTGGAACCAGAGCGAGAACAAGCTAACTTGGTATTCAACTGTAGTCAGAATGACTACTCACAAATGTGCCAGCAATACGGACAAGTCATTCCAATCCTGTAGCCAAGTGTAGTGCTGAGGCGATGGACTCAAGGTATGCATGTAGTAGGATGAGAGAGAACACAGCTACAGTGGAGGTGGTGACCAGGAGGGGAGGAAGTACAGTCGTCCAGTGGAGGTGAGCTGTGAACTGGTGTCCAGTGATGGGTCCAGGCAAGTGAGAGGAGAGGCAAAGAAAGTGAGAGACGGGGAGTACGAGATCAGCAACCTCCGGCACGAGGACCACACTACAGATGCAGTGGTAGGACACGCACAACATCCGGAAGTCCATGAAAGCAGGCGAGTCGGCTATCGAAGACGCTCGCTTCTCGTTCGCTTACTCCGACCGTCGGACGATCTGTTTCTATCTCTCTTCGAAGATCCTATGTCAGCGACTGCTCCCTTGACATTTAGGTCAGAGTAGGCACGCGCACAAATCTCAGCGAAGGCTCCCCTATTCCCCACCCTCCCGCCCGGCTACGGCACCGCCTTCGATCTACCTCACCAATATCATCACTGGTGTCGAAAGGTCCTTGGGGTTCAGCTCTCGACAATAAGGGACAGTTAGTAGTGTTGAAATGGCGGACGCTGTGTAAGCACTATCAGTGGCTCTGGAGAGAAAGTCAGATCATTTGCCTAGCCTAGCTCTGGTCCAGGTCAGCTGACTACCCATGTGGTGTAGCTCTTTCTGCACTGGAATCATTCTGGTGGCCGACCATGCAATCACCGGATTCAGGTCTTCTGCTCCTGATGGAAAGTCAGTGAATGTGTGGGACCATTAGGCGGTGGACCTCTCAGTTTTACAGACCCTGTAGGTATTGCTGTGCATCCTCATTCAAGAAGTACTATATGTTACAGATGCCAGTAATAACGCAGTCCAGATCCCAATGAAGACTGACACTTTTAGCAAGACATTTGGCTCCAGAGGCTCAGGCAATGGACAGTTCATCAATTATCCATGGGAGTGAGGTTAGTTTGAAAGTACTGGGCATGTCTACATTGGCTGATATACGTTCGAACACAGAGTACAAGTGTTTACAGTCAGATGAGAGTACATTCGACAGTTGAGAAGAAAGGAAGCGGAAAGAATCGGAATAGCCTGGACTCAAACAACATAGTCTATGCTAGTGACGCTGCTAACAATATATCAAGTCTTCATACAGGGGGACACTTTCTGCACATCATTTGGCACGCTAGGAAATGGACCGGGACAGTTCAACTATCCAACTGGAATAAATATTTCAAAGAGGAATGGAATCATCATGTCAGTGACTTCACCAATCGCCGTATTCAAGTTTTTGAGATTTTTTCTCTGATGCATCTTGAGTATAGTGTATGTTTCTTACAAAAGATGTTGGACAGTATGCGAAGTAAAAGATGAACCTCTTTTTGCGATGCTTGCGTTCACATAAGCAAGTGAATACCCGCCAAATGTTTATCGATGCATTAATTTCGTAAATGTCGTTGTAAGCTCACAAAGTATTTGCGGAGAAGAATTTTTTGGAAAGTTGGATACATAGATACATTTGGGTTGTTTATGTGGACTATCGATGGCGCGTGTCCACAGTCCCCCACAAACATATCCTAACCCTACTGTCAATGATCGGGCATGCTTGTATACTTCATCTCCTTTCTGCCTCGGGTTCCCGATCTATACTTTATGCTTTTTACTTCTCCATTTCCTTGCCCTCTTTTGTCGTTGCTTCTCTTGTCTTTGCTTCTTTGTTTTATGCATGGTCATATTATACAGACATTCTCACACCCGACATCCATTCTAGGTTGACTCTACTGAGTTGGTTGGTTCTTCAGTTCTCAGTGGATGAGTCTCATTCTCTTCGGACCTCTCCTCAGAGATAAGTCCAAGTGTAGCTATATACACACAGACTAAGATCTGCTGCAGTTTAGCCAGTGTATACCTAACCAGTTTATATGTGCATATCGTTCACTCAAGCCATTTTCTGCCACAAAGTACAAATACGTAGTGACCGAAAAGCAATACTAAAGACTTAGGATAAGATTGTAAAGATTGTGTAAGAAATCTTTAATTCAAGTACTGGCTTGTCACTGGATTCTGCCATGTACTGTAAACATATATATACCCACAATCATGACCATTCATGCAATGTCATGATCGTGTATGTACATTTATGTACTACATTCTAAGGACCCTATATATGTGCTGTATAAGTATGTGTAGATCATTCATAATCACTTGTATACAGTATATCCCATGGTGCACCTCTCTTCTAATAATATGAGAGCTCTGCTGTCCTTCCTGCAGGTGGGGGTGATGGCAGGGCGGGCGTGGCAGGAGATCCAGAGCGTCGTCTCTTCTCTTTCGTCTCCTGGGGGGTAAGGAGCAGGTGTTACTCCACCCCGCACTCTCCCCCGCCTACCACCATTATCCGGGAGTAGTCTTCTCCGTGTTCCAGACGACGGGGGAGGTCCATAGAGGTCAACGACGTCATCGGAGCAGGGTTATACCTGTTGCTATTGGTGGGAGGTGAGTATAAATAGTTGTATGCATGTTAGGAAAGTAAGGGGGGTATTAACTGATAGAAATACCAAATGAATTTTAGTAAACTGAAGAAAATCACTTAAAACTACATAAATTGCATGGAGATAAGGACACAAGTGATTATAATAATTGTAGAAAACGCAGTTACACCTTCACCTCTCATTTGTTAGCGTTCTCATATGTGTGTGCCACAGGCTGGTTAATGTGCACATTGCAGGAAGCTTAGTTAATATTACTGGAGAGCGAAGCAAGCCTACCTAGTCGTTTCAATGCGGGGTTTCTATTATATTATAATGTGACGGCTCTGTCGGTGCTGCACATACCGTAATGTTCTACGTGATTCACTCACTATCCCTGAATCTCGCCATCTCTTCGTTCAGTGCATAATGTCTACTGTGGTGTATGTATGTATGTATGTATGTATCTGTGAAGATACGACAGACTGCTGAGTGGCCTCAAGTCCTGTGGGGACGGAGTCTCTCCTGGAATGGGCGTGGTTGGTGTGGGTGTGGTTGGGGAGGAGATAATGAGGGGCGTGACATCTGAATACCAACATGGAAGGGTAAAATATTACGTATACACAATGTATGGTTAGTTGCATTATCCAGGATAATGCTGCATGCATGCTGTTTAGCATCAAACGTAGTACGCTCACGCAGCATGCGTAGCACGCAAGAACTTGTGGATGTGTAATCAAACTGACCAACCAGATTGCGCTATGCATTATGATTTCATAGTCCAAAGTATTCAAAGTTTAATCAACTGCTCCTCCTCCTCCTCTTGTGATTCCCAGTGTCCAGTGAACAAGAGCAGTGTCCTGGTGTGCTGGCTGGGGCACGAGTCACTGCAGGCTCAGTGTTTGAAGCTGGTCACACAGCTGTGGTCTCACGGGGTGGCAGCTGACTTGGTGTACGAGAACCAGGAACTAGACTCCCTGGAAGACATTCAGGTAGTTCACACCACCTGCTACATGTGGTACCAAACATTGGAAGGAGAAAAACTTATATACATACTCCATATGGTTAATATTGGCTTAGCATGCCATAGAGTTTCAGTCAGGAATGAGATTAGGCATTTGGAATGCAAAGTGTGCAAACTCGATCTGTGAAGGCAATTACTAGGATTTTAGAGGAGATTCTATGAAGATGAGCAGCAGTATGTATATATAATTGGCACACACAAACCGTATGCCTGTTGTAAAGGTCTGTGCACATGGGAAGAGAGCAATACCAAAGGACCGAGTTAGTTGCAGCTATAGAATTGTAGAATTCAGAACGGCAACTGAAAAGAGAACAGACAGTTGTTTACGATAGAGCCACCACGCACAAAGGGTTCACCTCACAGTTCACATACAGTAGTATTGAAATCATTGAGAGCCGGCATTCACTTATGGGGGATCCGGTGCTTCGTGCAGATACGGCTGAACGATATCCGAGTTCCAATAATAGCTTGAGAGGACATTTAACCCTTCTCCTCCCAGGAATTCTGCCGCCGGAGTCTGATACCGCACATCGTGGTGTTGAGTGACAAGGAGCTGTTTTTTGAGAGGAAGCAGGTTAGATTGAGGTCACTGGAGGCCAACGGGAAGACGTCGGAGCGGGTCCTGGGCGTGGCGGAGCTACCAGAGGTTCTTCTGCAGCAGAGACACAGTACGGACCGCAGCGACTCTGTAGAGACTCAGACAACCACCAGATCAGGGGGAGGCCCCTCTGGTTCAGACTCGTTTCCCTCCAACGCACGCCCACCAGTCAGTGTGACTGTTTTGTCGACCTCTAAGCTGAGTGGCCACAACAAGAGAAAGATTCATGATGCTGTGAGCCTCTCTGCTTTATTACTTAAAGATCTCTGAAATAACCCCCCAAGCACCTCTCTAAAGGGGCACTTGGTTTTACCCTGTACTAATACATAGGGACACCTTTCTATAGGGGGCACTTGGTTCTGCCCCATACTAATACATAGGGACACCTCTCTATAAGGGACACTTGGTTCTGCCCCATACTAATACATAGGGACACCTCTCTATAAGGGACACTTGGTTCTGCCCCATACTAATACATAGGGACACCTCTCTATAAAGGACACTTGGTTCTGCCCCATACTAATACATAGGGACACCTCTCTATAAGGGACACTTGGTTCTGCCCCGTACTAATACATAGGGACACCTCTCTATAAGGGACACTTGGTTCTGCCCCATACTAATACATAGGGACACCTCTCTATAAGGGACACTTGGTTCTGCCCCATACTAATACATAGGGACACCTCTCTATAAAGAACACTTGGTTCTGCCCCGTACTAATACATAGGGACATACTTCTAATAAAGAACCTCTCTATAAGGGACACTTGGTTCTGCCCCATACTAATACATAGGGACACCTCTCTATAAGGGACACTTGGTTCTGCCCCATACTAATACATAGGGACACCTCTCTATAAGGGACACTTGGTTCTGCCCCATACTAATACATAGGGACACCTCTCTATAAAGGACACTTGGTTCTGCCCCGTACTAATACATAGGGACACCTCTCTATAAGGGACACTTGGTTCTGCCCCATACTAATACATAGGGACACCTCTCTATAAAGGGGCACTTGGTTCTGCCCCATACTAATACATAGGGACACCTCTCTATAAGGGACACTTGGTTCTGCCCCATACTAGTATATATATCATAAAGGACACCTCTCTATAAGGGACACTTGGTTCTGCCCCATACTAATACATTAGTGACACCTCTCTATAAGGGACACTTGGTTCTGCCCCATACTAATACATAGTGCATCCTAATTAAAGGACACCTCTATAAGGGACACTTGGTTCTGCCCCATACTAATACATAGGGACACCTCTCTATAAGGGACACTTGGTTCTGCCCCATACTAATACATTAGTGCATTATATTACCTCCGACTAAAGGACGCCTCTGAATAAAGGACACTTTAAATGTCTCCAAAGTGTCCCTTATTCAGATGTTTCACTGTACTCACTCCAACCACCCAAAATGTGAACCTTTCTAAATGCTCCACTCATTTTTTACTCTTCCAACTCTCTCCAGAGTCTACGTATATACCTATTCCCATTTCAATTTATCTCTTAGACTCTGACAAAGCTGCTGCCATTGCTGGAGACGTTTCCCTCCAAACAGCCTCTGGAGATATTGGTGGTGGGTGTATACAGTGGCTGAGAGACCCTGTGTGTCTTGTGATACGCATGAAAATACGTGGAATAGGTTGCTCGAATGTCAAGTAAATGCTTGTAGAATTTGAACTGTTCACATGATTTCATGCCGGTTGAAAGATTGGAGTTAGAGTTAGTTTTGGGCAAGTGGATGACAAACTGTTCCATGCATGTGTAATGTATAGGGTTTAGTGTCTGCTATATTGCATGGTGCATTTGTCTCTCTCTGTGTGCTATCATAATGCTGGACGAATGGTATTGTTTGTGCGTAGGTGGACCTTAAAAGTGATGTCCTGTGTTCTTTGGCTGCGGAAGTCAATGTAAGCTCTCTCTCTATATAGCTGCTCATGATTCCTCATTTGGCGGGACGGCTAATGACAGTCCCCACACTAAGGATTTGTTCTGAAAACTGATCCTGATAACAGGAATTTGAGTGTGTGTGTGTGTGCATGTGTCACCGTTCTTGTGAAACGGTGTGTGCGTCAGTAAAGCATGACTACCGCCCAATACTTGGAATAGGGACGGTGTAGCTTCGGAACCTAGGCCTTCCTGTTTATGCCTGCGCATCATGTACATTTGGATTATGGTATACATGATGGTGGTCTTGTTAGTCTGAAGGCCGCCACGATACGCAACGCAACTTTGTTGTTGCGTGAGTTAAAATCTTATGCAGTAACGTCATGTGTGGGTATGAAGTCTGTAGAGAAAAGAAATGGAGCCTTTTGTATTGTGTGTTGCATGGACTATCATGGGGATAAAGTGCAATGGAGCATTGCCACACGCAAGTGTCTTGGTGTGTCTTGGCCAAGATACTATAACGTAGAAGGAGTATTGGCTTGGGGATTTCGCTATGGTTGATGTTACTTCATGTAGCGACGTCCCTTTCGTGTCTCTGTTTCTCTCCGTGGTTCCAGAGAAAGATATGTGGACCAGACGGCGGAGATATGGTGTCGGTTGTCAAGTCCCTCACCGAGAGGTATGCAAAATATTTACTATTCTTTATCATTTCATCCGAGATGACAGGAGCACAAGAATCTCTCACATAAGCCGTGACAATGATCTTAGTGCCAATGAATGTGTGTCGTTTCTCTCCAGACACTCGGCGCTAAACAAGAAGTACGTCACTAGAGTCTGCGAGAGTATTGAGGAACTGCTGCAGAAAAGGTGCAGATATTACATGTGAAACGATATGAATCTCTCTATACTTTACGTTTTGTCGTGAGCAAAGTGAGCTGTTTGATTTTCCGCGTGTTTCACGCGTACCTATTTAGAACGACGTATGATGTGTGGCAGTGCCTGTACGGACAAATTTCACATTCAGACAACGAGGTCTTGCTTCACTGGCCAATTAATTAGAACACTTTGTTTTCTTCTCCCCCTCCCCTCCTTCTCCTTCCCACTCTCTCTTTCTCCCCCCTCCTCCCTCTTCCCCTCTCTCCCCTCTGCTCAGAGTGTCCATGGTATTTGTGTACAGCCACTCTTCGGAACACTGTCAGACTATTCTGAACTCTCTCGAGTCACTCGGCAACCTTCACATCACTGCTTCATGATCTCAATCATGCATGCGACATCATTGCTGTATCACATGATCCTCACACTTGGTCACGTGACCTCGTCCGTCACAAACATTCATACAATGAGTCACCCAGTTCACAATGTGTGTATGTTTATTTATTACATTTTTTTAATTCCGTGGTGGTTAAATTGTTTGCGTGGGTTAATCAGAAATAGATCACTGTTTAGGTTTTTAACTGTTTGTTTGTGGAGGGTTAATCAGGAATTCTTGTTATGTTTGATTACATCATGCACTACACTGCTTGGTGACGGAGTAGGTTCAGTCAGGTTAACACCCATGAAATATATAATATGTCCTTTTGGGTTCAACTGCAAAAAAAGCTGGCTGATCTCCAGAGTTGTCAGGCCGACTATATATACTGTGACTCTTGTTCATGGACTGTCTTGAATGTATGTAACTTGAGACATGTACTGTGATAACAGAGGTCAAGGCCTAACAGGGATTACAATATGCTATTATGCAAGAGGATTGACTAAGTATGGATCAGCACGGTATGTACATACAAGCATCACAGACGTATGTATGAGGCTATGATAGTCAGTGTTAGTTTGTGTAAGCATGGCTGTGTGTGTGTGTCTGTTGGGTATTGGGGGAAGAAAAGGAAAGATAGTCCTAGATTGTGGGAGGCGTGTGCCAACCTCACCGCGTGTGGCTGCCTAGTGGTCCAAAGTGTATGCATCTTAACTGTTGACTCACTTCTACTCTACTTGGGGACGTATATTGGGCAATATGAGCTATTATTCACTCATGGTTTGTGTGTTATTTTTATGATATTATACATTTGTAAGGACACCTAAGTTATGGAAGTAATAGGGAACATCGAGAGCGG